CCATTGACACAAATAAAGAGACTATGTTTACTTGGAATTTAATTAAGAAAATAGAGAATCTGGATACACTTACAACTTTGGTGGAATTAGAATTGAGGGATAATCAAATTACAATTGTAGAAAATCTGGATGCGCTTGTCAATCTAGAGTACATTGACTTCAATTTTATATATTACAATTATATATAGCATATATTTATATTTCTAATAATGTTGCTTATAAATTTTAGATTCTTGGATTTGTTATTTAATCGCATTAAGAAGATAGAAGGACTAGACAATTTACTGAATTTACAAAAGCTATTTTTGTCATCAAATAAGATTTCACAAATTGAGAATGTCTCACATTTGGTCAGATACAACAGCAGTTAAATCACATCCAAAGAAAAGTAATACAGTTATTTCTTTTGTTATTTTTATCGATTGATATTCGTTATATAAAGATTTGGTTATTTTTGTTGCCAGTATTGTATTAGCATAATTGTTATTTTCATTTTCAGCCAGGTGAAATGATGAACGCAGGATTTCCAGGTCCACGAATTGTTACGCCTAATTAATTTTTAAGACAAAGTCCATCGCCTTTGGCTTCGAGTCCAGCTGGATTAGGAGCACCCCATCCAGGTAATATTAATGCACTTAAATATAATCTTTAACAAACTTGGAATTTTTGTTAAGTATACATAACGAAACAAACAATTATTTTCCCGCAATCAGATGGTAGCCTCGCTTGCTCTAGTGCCATCACCAAGCTCTCAACATGCAATAATGACGGGACCTGCTCGTTCCGTAAATTCCATAGGTAAGTTTAGGTAATTTAAAATTAACAAATGTATGAAAAAAAGTAAGAAAAAAGGTATATTAAATGACGTTTTGAACTAGGTATGGCACTATTTTCAAGCAGTTCGTTAAACACTCCTGGAGGTATAGGTGCTACGCCGAGTCCTCAGCAAAAGGATCAGGCTTATAGAGACAACGTGAGACAACTGAGTAAATACATAGAGCCGTTACGAAGAATGATCGCTAAGATGGGCAGTGAAGGAAGTAAGAAGATACAAATATTCAAAATAAAAGTGTATAATATTACAAGAATGGATATATGTAATTTTAAGAAACTAAATTTTCAAAAAATTAAAACAATTTGTTGTCTAGAAATAAAAAGATCTTGTGATCTTTTATGAAAATTGGAACATATTTTAAAAGATTGCAAATTTTCATAGATAGAATTTCCGTTAAAGAAAATTATATATATTTTATTTGTTTTTCTTAAACAATTTACATTATTATTTACAACTACTTTCTGTCACAGATGTTGATAAGCTGAGCAAGATGAAAAAGCTGTTGGAAGTTTTATCGAATCCTAGTAAACGTATGCCATTGGACACGTTACTGAAATGCGAAGTTGTCTTGGAAAAATTGGATTTCAAAAGAGCAGATGGCAGTGTGGGACTACCGCCAACGACATTGAAAGAGCACCAAATTTTTAGTCCGCTATTGGAGGCTGTAAATACGCATCTTTAAAGCCCGGTAATCAATCATACATTGCAGCGTACTTTTGGAGCGTACCTGGATGCTTTATTTGGACCAGAAATAAAGTAAGTGCGTTATGATTGTGTATATAAGAAAAAATTTATCTTGTTATAAATTTATTTAGTGATAACACATTCCATTCTGTGCATAAAAATAGAACTTTGCCTCCATCATTGAAAAAGCAAAAGATAGAAGAACCACCCAGTGAAATACGAGATGTTTTACAAGGAGAAATAGCTAGACTGGACCAACGATTTAAGGTATTTAACAGCTTTTAAATTTTTAAGCCTATTTTGGATAATTTATAATTTAATTTGAGTAGTATATGTTTTATTGAAAATCTATATTTATCAGAAAAGCATCTAGATTTATATTTTCTGTATATTAGAATATTTTCCGATTTTATGGACTCTACGTTTTTCTTAAAATTTTTCAGATATAAAGAAAAGTACTCGCTCCCCACCCTGCACAATTCTTACCCACAAGAATTGTGCGGAGTTTTTTACATACTCTGTACTAACGTTTTCTACAAATTACACGACATGTTAAATTATACATAAATTTTTGTTCTGAATTGTATAATTATTGCGATTTTTATTTTAGGTCAGTCTGGATCCAGCGCAGCAAAGTGGATCCAAGTGCATACAATTAATATGTTGGCTCGACGACCGTCATCTTCCATGCGTTCCACCGATCTCAGTTACTGTTCCTGCGGACTATCCTTCAACTCCGCCTCACTGCGTTATGGCGCCACACAAATACGAAGCAACAACATTTTTGTGTGCTGTACAGAAAGCTCTGAATGCTCGTATCGCAAAGTTACCACGTCGGTTTTCACTCTCCCAGTTGCTGGATACGTGGGAGATGAGCGTTCGACAAGCTAGCGCACCAAGGGAAACATCTGTTACTGCCAGTACGGTACTCATGGGTTTATAGTATATCTTTGTATCAATTTCTTTATGTCTGTACTTCTTCAAATTTTATGAAGCTTAATTAAACTGCAGAACATACATTTATATACATGTATATACATATGTGTAAATAGACATGTACGGTAATAATATCTGAAGTCAATACTTTTACAAGATCTTCGGTGACTATTCTCAAGCAAGCAAGTTATAAAATGACGAATTCTACAAAAATTCACTTGAGAAGACATTTGAATTTTTTATACCCATCAATATATTATTATCATTGAAGATCTTGTATAATATATGTGTAAACAGTGACTGGGTGTTTTTATAAAATTACAAAATTATTTATGATTATTATACATATTTATAATTATTAAACACTCAGTCACTATTTACACATATATATCATAGTAAATATAATAAAATAATACTTTATCTGCAATGTATATTTTGCAATGGTAATTATAATAAAATTTTGTATATGTATATGTATATATACACAGGGTGTCTGGTAACTCACGGACCAACGCTCGTGAGCGGATCTAGCCGCGCGCTTATTCGGCAATCTTTTTTAATTAATACTTTAATAATTATTGCGGGAATTGCAAAATGATAAAGAACTTTTCTGTTCTGTTTAATGTGCTCTATCGGACACCCTGTGTATATATTGTGTATATATATATATATATATATTGTATAGCATTCAAATATTAAAATCCAAGCTTCAAAAAT